AAGAAAAGTGATACTCTTTATGGATAAATGCACAGCACATAGTGATCAACCTAATTTGAAAGCAGTAAACTTGCAGTTTCTCCCGCCAAACACAACAGCAAAGTTGCAGCCGATGGACCAGGGTATCATAAAGTGCTTCAAACAGTCTTATCGTAAATGGCTTGTCAGAAAAATGATTAATAAGCATTAATTAAATAATCCGACAATATTTTGAAAGTCCAAAACCGAAACTAACGGTAAGTCGAACTTCCGATATGTCGAAGTTTTTCGTCAGTCCTATCAGATTCGAGTTATCGCGAATTCACTGTATATATATATTTTTTTTAAAAAAAAGAATGAGTTAGTGGAATAGCAATGTAACAGGCATATTATATAATTAATAAAAAATACGGAAAAAGCATAATGGTACAACTTAGTGAGCATATTTAAATAAATAAAAAAAAATTTATGTGAGTTTCTGCCTTCATATAGCAGATTTTTTGTGGAAAGCAAAAATGACTGAAAATAAATAACTAAACTATTATAAATAGCTAAATTGAATAAAATAGATACATTAAGCTTCATAATTAATCTATATGAATCCAATATGCATAAAATACATCCAAATTTTTGGTAAAATCAATTTAATGGTTTGGTTTTAGAGCCTTCTTTAAAAAATGAATAATTTGATTTTTAAACCCAACTTGACCCTATATAAGAAATGCATGCAAGTTTTCATATTTAAAACTTTCTTTGAAACAAACTTACCAATAGTCCATCACTAATACCCTCTTCACGTTTAAAATAGTCTTATCTTCCAATATCAGGAGGCATAGCTCAGGAAATTTTTGCTAGTTTTTTTTAAAGAAATATTAAATAGTATATATTTTTTAATTTAAATGTACTTCCTGAAATACACATCCACCAATTTTTTTTTTACAGGGGTGAGTAAAAGTAGAAATTTTCAAAACTAATTGATTCTTATAAAAATTTCTATTAAAACTGAACAAAATACCATTTTATCTATTATTCTGTATCTGTTTAAATTATTTATATGGTCTGGTTAACAAAACTTTGATTCTAATTTATTAAAATATTAATTCATTGTTTACCTTCTACTACTAGGAAAATTATTTTCTGAATTCATGGAAATTCCAAAGTAGTTGTGTATGTGAAATATTTAAGTTCTACGAATTTATTTAGTCAATTATTTGTTTATAAATTTTTAATATTCATTTTTTCGCCCTTTTTAAAATTTTATTAATAATTTCTATGACTTTTTGCAGGTTGGTGACCAGATTATTGAAATAAATGATATTAGTACTAAAAACATGACACATGCTGAAGCAATTGAATTAATTAGAAAAGGAGGAAGTACAGTTAAACTTCTAACTAAAAGAAGTATTTTACCTCGTGGACCATTAGGTATGTAATTCTAATTAAATTCTTATTTACTTTTTTAAAAAAAATATTTAAGTTTTATGAATTTTTATCTATTTATTTTTATTTATTTATATTTTTTTCCATATTTGTACCACCTTAAATCTCACTTTTAAAATCTTATTAATTTTTCAGTAAAGGCATTGTTACTCTTTCAAGTTTGTTTTGAATCTTAATACATTTCTTTGTTTCAGTATATTTTTAATGTAAACCCTACTTAAAATAATTACAGAAATAAAACAATTTGAAACATTGTAATTAGAAATTTAAATTAAGAAAAACTTTGAAATATTGTTTATTGTCAATTTTTGTTTCTGTAGCAATTATAATCTTATTTTACAACTGTTATCATGATGTTTTTACTCTCTTAAAAATTTTAACGTCTCAAAGCATTTCTATTTTAATTTCATTTTAAATTTAAACTGGTCTTAATTGTTTAAATTCCTCTGAAAAAGTATCCTTCCGTATAATATATTTTTAGGTGCGAGATAATATTTTGGTTTTTTACTAAGTTAATTTAAAAAAAAAATTTTTTTTAGTTTGATTCCTAAATAAAAAGTGTTTTTACACAAATGCAACGAACATCTCTATGCAGCAAAGTATTTTGTGCCAAAAATAAAAAGCGGAGTATCTGAATAACTTAAGATCTATGAATGGATTTGTTATGTATTAAAATGTAATCTTAATGTTTTGGAGGACTTGCCTAAAATATGCTAATTATATTGTGCAGGTGATATTTTAAGTTACGAAATCTGTTGCAAAAATGTACTTTCGTTCTGTTTAAAGACATTTTTTCTAACAGATTTAAATTCTTGACCATCTAAATATAGAATGGGTTAGCCACAATCTGGAAAATATGCTTCTAATAGTTGAAACGGGAAAACTATTAGAAAGTTTAGATCCCTTAATGTAGATTTTACTTCTACTTTTCTGTAATTATTGAAGAAGAACAAAAAATAATTGTGCACAATTGTAAAATTTGTTTATTCAAAGATAATTAATTCTACATGAAAAATTACTTTTTACCATTATTTGATTTTTTAGTCATTTGATTTTTTTTTTATATTCATTTTTGCTTCAATGTTTACTCTTCTTCAAAACAAAATCTAATTAATTTTTTTTATAATTTTTAAAAATACTTGTGTCCTTAAGTAATATTTTTAATTTTTTTATAAATAAAAAATATCTAATACAACATTAGCTACATTCAACAAAATTTTTAAATTTTGAAACTTAAGGAGCATATAGTATCAATTTTCATCATATCTCCCATGAGAGTACCATACTGTTAATTTTTTCTTGCATTTTATTAAAAAAATCCAAAATATATAAAAGAAATATTATAATTTTCGCACTTCAATTTCTTATATTAAGAATTATAAGAATAAAATAAGTTTTCAGTAGAATATCCATTATTATCCATTGCTGGTAATATTTCTTTTTTTTTTTTTACTTCATTATTTTAGTATATATATATATATCAAATTAAAATAATTTTATTTTAATTTCAGATTAATTTACAGTGCTTGCCTCATAGTTTGTGGTGAAAATTATTGTGATAATTTGACATATTTTTGAACTTAAATTTGCAGTCATTCCATTTTAACTGTTTTCTTTATTGAAATGTTAGAACGTCCTGAAGTAGAGACTATTTTTGTAATTTTAAAAATATATACAATATTAAGCATGCATATTTTTATGTATTGTTGTAGGAATAATGCTACTAATAGTTAGTGTTCAATGGCTATTGTAACCATTATTAAATTAACCAAGGAATCTTTCATATTTAAACACAGTTTTTTGTCACAGTGTTTTGTTAAAAAAATCATCTCATTCTTTTAAATTAAATTATTATGTAAATGTAATTAACTTTTTAATTTATTCTTATTAACTTCAATTTTTATGTTATTTCCTTATTTATTATCATTTTATTTATTTTATAGTTTTGTCTAAGCTCAACCAGTGTGACATTTTACATTCCGCTGTTTACTGTGTTTATTCTTTTATTGATTTTGTTATGAGTATTATGAGAATTTTTAAATTGATAATATTGCATTTCTTTTTTATACATATTTATATAGTTTCAGAGCTAATAATAATTAGTAAATTCGACTGAAATTGCTCTAAAATAATTGCCAATGTTAAAAATGGAAAAAGTGAAATAGTTGCCAATGTTAAAATTAAAATCAAACTAAAAAATATTTAATAATACTTTAATTTGGGATGAACAACTTTTACTTAGAGATGGCTATAAGGGAGAAAAATTAATATTTTGAAAGCATAAATATATATATTTAATCAATTGATATAATATAAATATCTCCTAATGTAATTAAAATAATAAGTTTTTCTTAAAAGGTTGGATACAACATGCAGCATTATGTACACAAAGTGTTGAACTGAAATTTTGAACATTTTTTTCCCCTTTAATAAAATTAGAATGAGTTTTAAACTTTTATTACCCAAATGTGAGCAACTCAACTTGTGTCTTGAATAAACATTTTCAAACTTAGAAATAAATTAGAACAATAATATTGCATTTAAGTTATTATAACTTTCAAAAGATTCAAAAATAAAACTATAATTTACATATGCTAATTTTAATCAAGTCCTTTTGTAACACTTGTAATGCATTACCATCAATAAACTATAATATTTTAGCGAAATTTACGGTAAGAGTAATGACAATTCATGATCAGAAAATCATAATTAATTTAATGAATCTTAAAATTGGTATATTTTGTAATATAGCATCTGTGAATTTATATTCCCAGTAATACTTTACATATTGCTGGGAATTAGATTTTTCAATAGTTAATAATGTTCAGTCATTCATTTTTGAAATTGTTTCACACAGGTAAAAAGAAGCGATGTCATGTAATTAGTAATTTGTAGTTTATATCACTGAGGTGTATCAATGGGGTTTTTTGTCTTTCTATTATTTCAATTTATACTTTGTCCCTCCTCCCATTACTGTTATTATCATTGTTTTGTTTTCTAAAAACAAGTCTTTTATTTGGATGGCATTTTAATTCACATTTATTTATGCATTTTTTTATGACCAATTTAAAAACATGGTTCTGTTTTTCATTGTTCGAATTAATTTCAATTTGAATGCTCTTTTAGAAAGAAAAGTTGCAAGTATTGTCTATCTTTGCAAATTATAACTAAATTTATTCATTTTTTTTTAAAAAAATTTAAATTCCAATTTTTTATCATTCTATCATTAGTCTGTAATATCTTTTAAATTGAAAAATGTTTTTAATCTTATGTTGCTGACAAAGGCAGTCAAATTACTTGACCTGACAATAAAAAATTTCAGGGCTAAACATCTAAATGACATTCCATTTTTTTCATCATTTTTATCCAATTTATCACTGAAGTTTTCTACTAATTTCTTTTTCTTTTAAAATCGGGAAATAAACCCATAAATTTAATAATTATATTCCGAATAACAACTGTTAAATTTAAATTTTTCTATGAGAAGTACAGTTATCAATCGATAAAAACAATTTGTACAGTATTTCCTTTAAAAAAAAAAAATTTCCACTATTTTCATTGGATTATAACGAAGTGAGAAAGACTTTAACTATATGTAAACAGTCAAACCTCAATATTACATACTTAAAGGGAGCAGTATTGTACTTTTATTTACGTCACACTGGAGCTGCTCAATGGGCTATTGGCGATAATCTGGGAAACATCTCTAAGGATTATCCAGAGACAACATACATACGTCACATCCCGTTTTACAGGGAGAACACATTCACACAAGCCAGGCTATTTTGGCCTCAAAAACTTCAAAAGAGACACTAAAAATTTCGTACTATCAGAAATTTATGTATTAATCAATTATTTTTTTACAACTCATTCTAAATAATAACACTGTACTGTCATTTTTGATGTTGTATAACAATTTTTTTGTGATATCGAGGTTTGATTGTATATATTTATAGAATATCTATCTATATGCTATAAAATGCATAAGCTTAAAGCATTGAGCTTAAATTAATAAAAACTAATCTATTAATTTAATAATAATTTTGATTTTTTTTATTTCTAGCTATAATAAGTACTTAATATTTATTATTTTCATGGTTGTAAATAATATACAATTCATATTTTAATAGTATTATTGCATATTGCTCATATCTAATTTTATATACCATTTCATTGGGAATTTGTGTGATGGCCGTTGCCAAAGCAGTTGGTTAAAATACAATTGTCTTGCTTTTTTTTTGTTGTATATTATTTAAAATTGTTGAGTTATTTTATTATTGTATTCATGAATCTCTATTTATACATTTACATATTTGTTACAAAATTTATATTGAAAACCACCACTTTTATATGTATACATTTATATTTGGCTCTATTGTTTTAATGTAGCTGAGCCTTATAAGAATGTTTGTAAGTGTTTAAAATCATAGTTATATATTTTTAATTGTTATATGGAATTTCTATAGGATTTGGTGTTGTTTGTATAGTTAAATAGCGATAGTTTTTATCCATTTCACTTGTCATATTTTGTAATTAATGTTTTTAAAGATGAACATTGAGTCACATTGTATGAGAGAAAAAAAAGATTTTAATAAAAAAATTTCAAGCAATAAATTGCAATTGTTTTATTTTATATTTTGTTTGATGGTTATCTGATCTTGTATTCTCATTAAGTTTGTTGCACTAGAAATTCTTTACAAATTGAGGGTAATATACACACTCTATTATCATTCTAAATTTTAATGACATTAGTACAGTCTAACTCTGCTATAATGAACCCAGAATATAGTGAATACATGGTTGCAGTGAATATTTTTAGTGGCCCCATCCATTAGAATTGTTATATGAAATTTCTATAGGATTTCGTGTTATTGTTTGTATAGTTAAATAGTGATAGTTTTCATCCATTTCACCTGTTATAATTTGCAATAATTAAACGGTGAGTTGCATTATACGTGAGGGAAAAAAAATTACAGACTATGAATTGCAATAATTTTATTTTTATACTTTTGTTTGTTGGTTATGTTATCTTGCATTCTCATTAAGTTTGTTGCACTAGAAATTTTGTAGAATTTGAGAGTAATATACACACTCTATTATCATTCTAAATTTTGATGACATTAGTACAGTCTTAACTCTGCTGTAGGAACCCAGGATATAGTGAACACATGGTTGCAATGAATATTTTTAGTGGTCCCTTCCATTGGAATTGTTATATGGAATTTTTATAGAATTTAGTGTTGTTTGTATAGTTAAATAGCGATAGTTTTCATCCATTTCACCTGTTATATTTTGCAATAATTAAACAGTGAGTCGCATTATATGAGTGGGAAAAAAATTACAGACAATGAATTGCAATAATTTTATTTGTATATTTTGTTTGTTGGTTATGTGATCTTGCATTCTCATTAAGTTTGTTGCATTAGAAATTTTTAACAAAATGAGGGAAATATGCAAATTTTATTATCATTCTGAGCTTTAAAGGCATTAGTACAAGATATAGTGAACAGTTGAATGTAGTGAACGCTTTTAGTGGTTCCTTCTGTTGGAATTGTTATGTAGGATTTGGTATAGATTGTGTTGTTAAGTTGTAATAGTTTTTATCCATTTCACCTGTCGTATTTTTCAATTAATATGTTTAAAGATAAACATTGAGTCACATTATATAAGAAAAAAAAATTTTAATCAAAAAAATTAAAAGGTATGTTTTATTATTAGTTATTTGATCTCTCATTCTCTTTAAGTTAGTTATACTGTCAGAAATTAACAAAACTTGGATAATATGTGCACTATATTATTCTAAGTTTAAAGATAATAGTACACTCCAGAAGTAATTAGGACCTGGCGATAAATCGATGTATCGCGAAATATTGATTCAGCTCATATATCGGCAGGCCGATATAGTGACTTTCATTTTAGGCGATGTAACGGGAATCTGATTTAAACCGCCGATATAAGACGACGCTCGCGGTTTAACGATTTAACATGCGAAGATGCTTTCCATGCTTCTGCTCTCACTGCGCTGACGAAGACAATTTTGATTACATGTAGCTGCGAAGATGTTGATTACGTTTAGCTATGAAGACGATGTTCGTTTCGTGATGTTGAATGACGAAGAGCAAATTGAATCAGAATTCTCGGATTTGCGCGAGGATCAGCGTTTCTTCATGCGCCATTTTTGTTCTTGGGATTTTACGTTTCTTGAAGATTATTAAAGTGTTCTTAAATAAAGCTGTATGTTTATTTTGAAAGCAAAACGTTTTAAGGAAATTTTGACATTTAAGAGCAAAATAATGGTAAATGAGAAGCAATTACGGGCGTTGGCGAGTGGAACAGGCAAGGGGAGGTATTTCCTAGCATTAAAAAGAAGTGCGTAATCAGAAAAGAATTTAAAACATAAGGTTATGAAATGTTTTCTAAACCAAAATATAAAAAAGTTGAGGTTAGTTTGAAATTAAATGTTATTCTTTGATGGTTTTGATTATGATGTATGTAAAATGTAAGGTTTCTTATAAGTTAATTTTATTAAGAGTTCTTTAAGGCTACAAGATGCTCAAAAAATGACTTTTAACATTACGAAAATATGAGTTAATTTGCGATGCGTAATACGTGAATATGCGAGGAAGACTTGCGAAATAGTGTTTCATAAAATATGTATATAAATGTTAATTATTTATGAAAGTCGACACTAAAGACAATATGATCCTTTCGACTACGACAATACTTTTTTTTATGATATAATTTTGACGAATTGAATGAAAGAATTAGATTAATAATAACGTAAAAATTAAAGAACAAATATATTAGTAGAAGTTTTATTAGAGTCCTGAAAATCAAATACTAATTAGTTTCATAAATACTAATGTGCATGTCAGTATAAGCAGCATATTCAACATTATGATAGGAACAACATCACGATTAGAAAAATTTCTATGTATTATTTCATTGTCGCAAAATAGTTGTCTGTTACTTTCCAAACATAAATGATTTTAAACGTATAAATTGCCTTCTTAGACCTCTTTACTAAAGTGTNATGGCATGTCTTCGGATCATCCTCAGGGATGTTTCCCAGACCGTCGCCAATAGCCCATTGTGCAGCTCTAGTGCGAGGTAAATTAACAACAACAGCAGGTCAGTATAAGCAACATATTCAACATTACGATTAGAAAAAATTCTTTGTATTATTTCATTGTAGCAAAATAGTTATCTGTTACTTTCCAAACATAAATGATTTTAAACGTATAAATTGCCTTCTTAGACCTCTTTACTAAAGTGTCCCCCAATTTATTATTATTTGTGCAAATACATCGTTTTTTTCTGTGAAGAATTTCTTATACACTGGTCAAAAAAATTAGGGGGCACATGGATTTAACGGACTTACGCAAATATTTCTTCTGATAATATGGTAAAAAAGAAAGACAAATCGTATTAAGTATAAAGAAAATTTCATATGCAAATAAAAGTTCATGACGACAAAAACCACAAAAAGGATTTAAGTGCAGAAATTTTGATTTCGCAGAAGCTGCTGTCCTTCGTTATCTCAGTGGTAAAATTCAACTTTGTTTTGAGGAAAATCAATTTAAAAATGTCGCGACAACGTGATATAAAAGAATTCATGGCTATGCATATTATCGGAAGATTGGAATACGGGCAAACACAAAGAAGTGTATCGAACGCTGTTTTAGTGGCAAGGAGTGCGTCATTGCAAGACTGGAATCGATTCCGAGAAATATGGTATCTTTAGCGTCGTCCAGGAAAAGGTCATCCACGTCCACTACAGCAAATAATAACCAAAATCTCAAATTAACAGCTCGGCGGGGCAGGACATTCACGCTAATTTGCAGATAGTGTCCTTTGGCAACAGAACGAAGGTTCTTAAACCGAACAATAAGTAATAAGTTTCATGAGGGTGGCTCGTAAGCATGCAGGCCAATTCTCTTGACAGACAGACACGTTGCTGCTCGAAGAAAGTGAACTGTTGCAACATCGAAATTGATAGGAAGTTATTGGAGTCAGATGCTGTTTACGAACGAGATCCGATTCCGTTTAGAGTGTGACACCAGATGTGTTTTAATATGGTGAAAAAGGTACACTCGAAATAACCCTATATTCGTTCAGGAAGGATTGCATAACAGACCAGGTGGTTTGATCATATGGGTTGGAATCAGCATAGGTGATTATTTTATTCAGGAAGGCAATTTGACGGCTCAAAGGTATACAGATGAGATTTTGAGATCTTATGCTGCAACCATGGGCAATTTCTTTATTTTAATGCAGAGTAATGTACAGCTCGTCTTGTGGAGAGCTTTCTTGGAACTGAAATAATATAGCGTTTAGAGTGCCAGTATGTTCTGATCTTAATGCATTTGAGCCTGCTTGGTACACACTCGGACGACGCGTTGCTGCAAATCCAAGGCCTCTTGTTATACTTTCCTAGATTTGAAGATCGCACTTCGTCAAGAATGGAACAGTATTCCCCAAAGTCTCATCAATAACTTCATCGCATTCATGCAAAATAGGTGTACGGCAATCTTAGGAGTTCGAGAGGGCCACACAGCATAATAAACATCTTGTATCATTTCCGCACAGTCAGTTTTTTTTTTCTTCCCATTTACATGTTATTAAATTGTTGCCTTGAAACATCATTCCGTGTTCTTTATACCATTCAAATAATTAAAGTTCCCATGCAATTGTTTTTTGTTTCCTTTTTTCATGTATCCAGTTTTGTTAAATCTGTATTCTCCTTTTTATGCCCGTGCATGGCTGTAACGCAAAGTTTTCAAAACATTTTTACTTGCTCCCCTAATTTTTTAAGCGGTATATTTATTTTGAATTCAACAAAAAAATTTAATTTTACTTTTTATGTCTAATTAGACAAACTATAAGCGTTTGCAATTTTAACCACGTTAAAACTCATTTTTATGAAATTTACAAACAATAGCTAACTAATATTGCAAACGACTAAAGAAATTTAATTAAGTCCCGCAGTGGACTGATCGTTAAGACACGGTTCCTAGCAGATCACCGAAGTCAAGCATCACTGGCTGCGGTCAGTGTGCCACTTGGGTGGGTGACCACGGATCAGTCTGCGTAGGGACCAAGGGTGTGCGGTATTGGTCCTCGTTAAACTGTCCTACCGTAAAGTGCTCGACTTCGCGTACAAGGTCTTCGGGCTACCGAAGCGGAGGTGCCTTCCCCTCTGCAGAGGATCAAAATTATGATGGCATGTCTTCGGATCATCCTCAGGGATGTTTCCCAGACCGTCGCCAATAGCCCATTGTGCAGTTTAGTGCGATGTAAATAAACAACAACAATTTAGTTAAATTTTCTTGTCCTAATTAGAAATGAATAAAATAATAAGAAAAGTTCTTTATTTCTTGTTTGTATACGAACATTTTGTATACGGACATTTAAAAAAAAAACTATTGTTAAAAGCCATTTTAAAACGCTTTTTAGATTTAAATAAAATATATTTTAAATGCATAAATTGTTTTCTTAGACTTAAACCCATTTCCTCAGATCTGTTTCCGTTATTAATAGAGCAATATTAATTGATTTCGTTGTTAA